CCCGTACTGTACCAGCCTACGATACAACGTAAAATATGAGTCGGTGATTTTAAAATACAGACTAGGTGGAACACAATCATATGTAATTATAGATATGACCGAGGTACGACACAATGCTTGATTATGAATTATACTGTTATGTATTGATATACACTCCAATGTATTTCAATGGAAAAACCTCTGCAAATATACCATGGCGCAATTACCATGGTAGACAATTCCACACAATTAATTCCCTGGGTTTATATTAAAATTTTAATTAAATCACTGGAAATACCTGTGTCATGCGACTGTTATTTATGAAGCAGTACTGTATTGTGCTTTCATATGAAAGCTGTATTGAGATATTCGTTTTGAATGATGAGGCCACATATTTGTGACATATTTTTATGTTTTTGTATAATTGCAAAAATCTTATTAACTCTATAAATGTTGAGTATATATATACTATATATCAATACATAACAGTATAATTCACAATTAAACATTGTGTCGTACCTCGGTTACATAGACAAAACATACCATTATGGTGTTCGCTGCAAAATATTTCCACCTCGGTGCAAAATGAAATGGAAAATACGAACATGATCAGCATCGGGACAACCACCACCAGGACCATCATAAATTTAATGTTATCTTTTATCAAATTATCGTTAATTATATTGCTTTCACCCTGGTCGCACCCTGAACCAAACTCAATTGTCATGCAGCCGTCCGGCACGATAATCTCCGTGCCAAAAATGATCCTGAGCATTATGCCGGTATAAATTAACATGGCAATTTTCAGCGCAAAAGTTTTCCATTGGCTTATGTATGCGTATCTCATGGACCGCATCAGTAGGCAATTCACGTCCCGAAAACTAAATCGTTTTGTAGGGCTTTGTTTGCCGTAAACTAATCGCATGTTTTCCTCAATGAGCTTATCGTCCGATTGATAGCTATTTTGTTTTGACATAAGTTTTTCAAAATCAGTCATTCGTTTGCCATCGGATGCTATTGTAAGCACCACTTCGATGGGGACGTCGTTTTGGGTCAATTCAATGTCGCAGTCGTGGAGGTGGTGTCGGAGGGGTAGAGGGGGTCCGGAGTACAGACATACCCCTCCATTGGCCAACACATAGATGTTGTCAAACATGTGAAACAAATCGTTGTTCGGCTGATGAATGGATGCAATGATAGTCATCCCATGTCTTCGGGACAACACTTTTAAACAGTTAATGACCTGAAAGGCAGACAACAAATAGGGTTAACACATGAATAGCATGTAATACTTAAATGAGAGATGACTGACCACTAGAGCGGCACTACTGTCCAAACCAGAGGTCGGTTCGTCAATACAAAGCATATTAGGCTTTATATGAGCCGTGAGTTCACAGGCGATGACAATCCTCTTGTGTTCGCCGCCACTACACGTCTCGACCCTATTGTCGGCCGTATCGCTGATCACCAGCGAAGACATCAACTCCGAGGCTATCATCTGGTGATCCAAATGAGCGCTAATTCGCGAGTTCTTCAGTCGCGAGGCGTAGACCAGAGCCTGTCTTACAGTCAGACCCTGTAATAGGTGTTGGCAAACATCCTGTTGTATAAAACACGTCTTAAATCCTCCACTTTTCACATAAATCCTCGTCTCGTCGCTCAATCCACTCATACTCTGTCCGTTCAAACACTTCAATAAAGTAGTCTTTCCCGCGCCGGACGGTCCCATCAGAGCGTTGAGTGAATTATCATAAAATTTTCCGCAAATTCTATTTAAGATCACCTTGCTGCTACTAGTTTTACGAAATAATTTACTCGACACGCTATATGTTAAATGATGCCAGCATATTGATATATTTGATTGACCTTGACTACTACCATTCATCTCGACGTCCGGAAATTTTATATGCTCTTTCACCATTTCTACCTTTGTCATATTATGTGATTGAAGAATACTTTTACCCTGACACTTATGAATCAAGAGAAAAATAAATGTTTTGGCAACGTTAATTGTTTTTACATAAAACACTATAAATTCAACGGCTACTAGAGCGGCGTATACGTACGCAAATCTGGTTGCATACGCGTAATACAATTGATCTGGCTCATTATCTAGACCAAACTCAATTAGTACCTGAGATAAGTCGCCACGATCACTCAATAAGCACCGATCGAAGCCGTATATAATTATCATAAATGAATTAAACTGGTATTTGTAATGATTATAGTCAGTAAGTGTTTGCACAATTTGTGGCATGGTGCTTAGTTTAAAGAAAAAATTATTAAATAAAATGGTCGACATCAGTGCTATTAATCCCATGATGGATGATGCACTCGGTGATTTAGCAAGTAACAGTGCGATAATTTCAGTGATAGCTTGGTGACATAAAGCTGTGACTACCATGACGTGCAGTAGCTTGACCACCAAGTGCCATTCGCTTAAGTATAGGCCGTGAAAATTAATTATTATAGTCATTATGAATGCGGTTATTAGAGTAATTGTGCTTGATACGCATAATCGCGGGATAAAATATGCCAGTGGATTGTACCATGCTTTAGAAATGAATATAATAAATCAAATATTTTAGATAAGTGCATGAATTTGTGCCATAATGAGTTATATACTGTATTAGTTTATGAAAACTTTAGCCTAATCTTAAATAATTTAATACATTATTCAATAGTGAATATTAAATAAAATATTTAGATAAAAATATCAATTTTGATTACATAATAAATACAGTATATTTTTCAATATAAAATAATAATAATAATAATAATAATAATAATAATAATAATAATAATGCTACAATTATATTAAAATTTAAAAATTATGCAATTTTCATACACTGATAAACTAAAAACTTACCATTTTTATATTCTGACCAAAAATTTATAAAATCTCTAGACAAGGTGTTGCATATAAATATGACACTGATAATATTGCAAATAACTGGCACGTTAAACAGGAAAAATTGCAATTGTGTGATTATAGCTTTCTCCTTTTCAATATCGAGACAGGTTAATTCACCGGAGTGCTCGGTAGCATTGCGATAAAAGCACCCTGACACTTTATGCGAGTTCTCATTGATAGACATGACGAGTACGTAATTAATAGCCGTTATTATAGCAATTTGTTTGACAAATGCTTTCCATTGCGAGACATATGTGTAGTGAAAAAATCTGATGAATAAGTAAAACATATCAACGAAATAGAAATTCTTGTTATTAGTAGTGATTCCGGTATTCATTGCAATCANAAGACGTGTTTTATACAACAGGATGTTTGCCAACACCTATTACAGGGTCTGACTGTAAGACAGGCTCTGGTCTACGCCTCGCGACTGAAGAACTCGCGAATTAGCGCTCATTTGGATCACCAGATGATAGCCTCGGAGTTGATGTCTTCGCTGGTGATCAGCGATACGGCCGACGATAGGGTCGAGACGTGTAGTGGCGGCGAACACAAGAGGATTGTCATCGCCTGCGAACTCACGGCTCATATAAAGCCTAATATGCTATGTATTGACGAACCGACCTCTGGTTTGGACAGTAGTGCCGCTCTAGTGGTCAGACATATCTCTAATTAGGTATTCATTGCAATTCATGTGTTAACCCTATTTGTTGTCCACCTTTCAGGTGATTAACTGTTTAAAAGTGTTGTCCCGAAGGCATGGGATGACAATCATTGCGTCCATTCATCAGCCAAACAACGATTTGTTTCACATGTTTGACAGCATCTATGTGTTGGCCAAACAAGGGGTATGTCTGTACGCCGGACCCCCTCTCCCACTTCGACACCACCTCCACGACAGTGACATTGTGTTGACCCAAAACGACGTCCCCATTGAGGTGGCGCTTACGATAGCATCCGATGGCAAACGAATGACTGATTTGGAAAAACTTAAGTCAAAACAAAATAGCAATGAATCGGACGATACGCTCATTGAGGGAAACATGCGATTAGTTTACGGCAAACAAAACCCGACAAAACGATTCAGTTTTCCTGACGTGTATTGCCTACTGATGCGGTCCATGAGATACGCATACATAAGCCAATGGAAAACGTTGGCCTTGCAAATTGCCGTGTTAATCTATACCGGTCTGATGCTTAGGATAATTTATGGCACAGATATTATCGTGCCCGATGGCTGCATGACAATTGAGTTTGGTTCCGGGTGCGACCAGGGTGACTCCGATATAATTAACGAAAATTTACTAAAAGATAATATTAAATTTTTTATGACCCTGGTGGTGGTTGTCCCCGTGTTCATCATGTTTGTATTTTCTATTTCATTTTGCGCCGAGGTGGAAATATTTTGCAATGAACACTATAATGGTATGTTTTCTATATGTGACAATATGACCGTGGTATGCCACAATGTTTGATTATGAATTATATTGTAATGTACAGTATTAGTATTTATCAAAACTTATAGTTAAGTCACTTTGGACATACCTCTGTCATACCAGTATGACCCTTATTTTGTCAAACAGTATTGCTTTCGCATATTTCTAACACATTTTTATAATATTTTTTAAACTATAAAAATTATAAACTATATTTGTGACAGGTATATTTAATCTAAAGACAACGGTTTAGCTTTGAAAACTTAGTAATGTAAAGCAAAAGCTTTAAATTAGCATTTTACTCATATATTTTGTATGTTTAAGTTGTAAGTTTACGTGCTTTAGATCTCCATTACTAAGTTTTCAAAGCTAAACCGTTGTCTTTAGATTAAATATATCTGTCACATTTATAAAAATGCTTCACATTCCCAAATATCAGTGATTCATAATTGTAGGCTTTACAGGTCAAACTAAAATATGAATAGTATTACTAATTGTGCATGCTATTCATATTTTGAATATTACTATAGAGTTCAGTATCTAGATTCTATAATTACATATGATGGCATTCCTTGCAAAATGATTTGTAAATTCATGTTATACATTGTATCGTAGGATGGTACAGTACTGGGACATTTTTATGCACAAAAACTATCACGGACTTTTTACCCATAATCATTACGTTAATCGTCTATTGTGGAATAGTGGACATGGCACATACGATACGCTCGTACGCTACAATATATTTCACCAACTTATTACTATTATTATGTTGTCAAAGTTACGCCCAACTTACCGCCATAATATTTTCGCACGATAAAATGCTCTCGTTCCTATATTGCATGGCCATTGTGATCGTGTATGTCACGTTAAGCAACACGTTTATTATGGCGAATGAGCTACATTATGTGTTACGTGCGCTTAGCGAGTACAGCTTTATGAAAAATGGATTTGAATTATTGTTGATTATGATGTACGGGTTCGACCGGTGTCAGCCAGGGCAAATATCTACCGTATTTTATCATTATGGTATCGACAAGGACATGTTTTATAGTATACTAATGCGATTAATTGTAAACACTATAATG